CTCGCCTACAGCCGCGATAAGCAGCAGCATTTAGCGGACCTGGAAGCAGTATTTAAAATTTTAGAGGAGCATCGTTTATTGACCAAGGGGTCTAAGTGCGAGTTTTTTCGGGATAGGTTAGAATTTTTGGGGCACGTTATTTCGGAGGCTGGGGTTGAGATTGACCCGAAGAAGCTGGATACGGTCAAGGCTTGGCACCCCCCGACAAACATCACGGAGCTGCAGAGTTTTTTGGGTTTTGTTAATTACGTCCGTCGGTTCGTCCCTGACATGGCACGCTTAACTGCCCCACTGACGGATCTGCTGCGGAAGGGGGTCGTTTTTACGTGGGGGGAGAAAGAGCATGCTGCCTTCTCTACCCTGAAAAATGTTCTCTGTTCACCGCCTGTCCTGCGCATTGCCGACCCACACCGCCCATTCGAAGTCATTACTGACGCAAGCGACATCGCCATCGGAGCCGTACTGCTACAGGATTTCGGGAACGGCCTACAGCCTATCGCATACGAATCACGAAAGCTGCACCCACCTGAGAAGAATTACCCGATACACGATCGCGAAATGCTTGCGATCGTGCATGCTTTCAAAGTGTGGCGCTGTTACTTGACCGGCGCAGACGTGACAGTACGGACAGACCACCGATCACTACAGTATCTCCGCGCACAACCCCACCTCAACCCACGACAGATCCGCTGGCTCGATTTTCTCGAGTCGAATTTCCATTACACGGTCACTTACAAAAAGGGAGCTTCCAACATTGCCGACGCACTGACCCGCCCCACTGCCCAAATCCACGCAATACTACTCGCCCAGACTAGCCCGCTACTGACAGGACTATTTACCCACGGGTATCAAACAGACCCATTCTTCACCGGAGGCAATTCGCAGCAGTTCGCAGCAGCACGAGGGGTCTATTACGTAAAAGCCGGGACCGACCGCATTTGGGTACCCGGGTATACACTACTACGGGAATTACTGTTACAGGAGGCTCACGACGGAGTTACCTCGGGACATTTTGGGGTAGAAAAAACACGGCAGCAGCTGCAGCGGTATTATTACTGGCCAGAAATGTTGACCGACATCCAACGACACGTAGCATCGTGTCCCACCTGCCAGGTCATGAAATCATCACGGAAGCGGCCGGCAGGACAGTTGCAGCCGATTCCACCCCCAGAGCGTGCTTGGCAGCAGGTGACGATGGACTTCGTCACGGGGTTACCGGCCGGGGCGAGTGGGAACGACGCGATCCTGGTCGTCGTCGATCGACTGACGAAAATGGCACATTTCGCAGCATGCAAGAAATCAATCACAGCCGAAGAAACAGCCAGCCTCTTCATCACCACCGTTGTTCGCCTCCACGGGATACCATCGGCAATTATCAGCGACCGCGACACGAAATTCACCAGCAACTTCTGGCGGAACCTGTGGCAGCAGTTTGGTACGCGACTACAGTTCAGTTCTTCGTATCACCCCGAAACGGACGGACAGACAGAACGGACAAACCAGACCATGGAGCAGCTCATCCGGGCCACGTGCGACGACCCGAACACGTGGGAACAGCAACTGCCACTCATTGAATTCGCGTACAACAACTCGCCCTCCGCCACGACCCAACAGTCACCGTTTTACCTGAACTACGGACAGGACCCAACAGTACCCATGACCCCAAATCCCGACAATCCAGTCCCACGCGCACAACAGTTCGCCGAGATTTTGCAAGCAGCACGGACCAGGGCAGCAGACGCAATTAAAAAGGCCAACATCATCGCTAAGCGCAACGCCGATCGCCACCGCCGACCTGTCACTTACCAGCCAGACGACCTTGTACTACTCGATACTCAGAACCTCCGCCTGCCCATCACTCCAAAACTTCGCCCCCGATATTGTGGGCCATTTCGCATCAGCCACATGATCACACCCGTCACCGCCCACCTCCTCCTCCCTGCTGACTGGTACGTCAGCCCGTCATTCCACGTCAGCCTACTTCGCCCTTACATCCCATCGACGAGCCAACTGCCACGCAATCGCCCAGCCAGCATGACACGCCCCCCAACCGAACCAATCATCACCCCCGAAAAAATCCTCAGCCACCGAGTCCGCGACCCTCGGGGAGCCCGAAGGATCGAGTTCCTAATTCGCTGGAAGGACCGAACGCCCACAGAAGACAACTGGGTCCCCCTGGATAAAATCGAAAACCACCCTGTCTTCACCGAGTATCTGCGAAGCCGAAATTTCCGCGACGTCCATGCGCTCTCGTAAGAGGGGCCTCCTTGGGGAGGGGGGTAGTGTAAGGAAAATTCCTTTTCCTTCCTTCGCATCCCCGCTCACCGCGTACATCACTGTAGTACCTCAGTCAGCACCGTTACCACTCGCATCAATAATCCGCCCGCCATTTTTCGCATGTCGCACCCCGACCTCACGGCTCGGTGGTAACCCGCGCTCCGGACCACCGCCTCGACACTTTTCCCAACCTCAGTCCCAGGCCCGTCACGCGGCAACCACAGTCCATTACCGTTACCACTGTAATTTCGTTATATAATCCTTCGCTCATGCCTTCGCTCATTGTACTCTTGCTTCGATAGTGCAATCTTCGTTCGCTCACTCCATTGCACCCGTAACATTGGTGCAGAATAGACCAGCGTGGGCATCATCTCATCTCCACTCCGCCTGCCTCCGATTGGGTCTTCGTTCCTTTGGCACTGTCCACGAAATGCAGTTCATCTAGGGCAGTCCGATAGTTATGGATTTACAAAACGGCTTGTACAGCAGTCCATTACTTTAAACTGGGCAAAGTATTTAGTCATGTTCTTTCAAGCCCTCACGACTTCAAAGTTTTTCCTTTCTCTACCAGTACCACGTCATCCGAGCTGAAGCATCCCAGTTGTTACACGGGTACGTCAGCAGCAAAGAAGCCACAGATGCTTCTTCCTCATTTCCACGTCACTGCATCATGGCAACTTCTTTCGCTGGCGGTGATCGCCTCCAGTGCCAAGCAGACTGACAAGTCAAGTGAAACCGCGTTGAGTGACGTGGCATGGCATGGACAGTATTTGGTGGACCGTCGATAACCGAACCAAACATTTCATATACTGTGCTGTACGCATCGGAGCAGCTTTCGCGGATTGGACTGGATAATACTGTAGGATCCTCCGGGTACCTCCACCGAGAATGGAGAAAATTGAAGTGTGGCGTGTCTGCTCCATAACCGCTGGAGGTCTTGCCTAGAGGGCCATATTTATGTCTCCTCCAACCCGTTCTCGGTTGTCCTACTTTATTTCTCCCACACACGCTAGTCTCTGCTGAGTTGTTAGCTTGGTTTCCGATTTGCGTAGCCAGCACGACAGAAAAACAAGCTGACTTCGCTTCGGCGTTGTCAGTCCGAACCGCGGCCACACGCCGGAATCTCAGCACAGCCGCATGCGACGTCGTTCGCCCTTTCTACAGTGCTGCGCGTGCGCCAGTCGTGTTCCTTGCCCCTTCCATCACCTCGCAATCGCAACCGTCATCATCAACTTGGCGCCGCGAATGGCCATGATTGAGCCGTTCACTTCTCTTTCTCACTCCCCTCAACGCATAGCACATCGACTCCCTCACTCCCGTCCCGAGTCCCGTTCCGTCTCGTCAGTCGCGGCCGGTCCGATAAAAGAAGCGTACAGGCAGGCTATGCTTCTGACCATATCCCCTGTCTTGACGCCTCCCTCCCTCATCACCGCACAAATACACCCTGTTTCTCGACCCTCTCACCTTGCGCGATTCGCTGCTACAGTGCGGTCAGGTGCCATAAACCGTATGGCTGAAACCTGCGGGCAAAGCCGCACCAGCTGACGGAGTGGTACTGGGGGCAAAATTTTTCTTTATCGCTGTATACCCTTTTCAACCGCTTTGAAACGCTTGGTTAATGTTCTTTACCATGCAGCATCCTAGCTAACCGCTTTCTTGTGAATGTGCTTGTACCGTCGGTGATAAGACCATTTCAAACGTGGTGACGTTCTACAACCAGTGCATGTTCTGCAACCAGATGCTCTGCTAGCGCGAAACAGGGTGTACTGTACGCCAATGCAAACGCTCTCTTCCTTCTCCCGCTCGTGTGTCAGAGTGTGGAGAGTACGTTCAACCTGTCCCGCTCCGAGGAGTCCTCTCACCATAGGCCACCCGCCCAATTTCCGGGGGAACGTCGTTCCGTATTTCCCACGTGTTCGTTCCCTCCCCTTTCCCCCAACTCCTCCCTTCCCTTCCGACCCCAGTACATCTCTTCTTCCCGACACCATGATTACGTTGTGCGATTTTCACGCAATTGCGTTTTCGCGCTTTTCCGAACTTTTCCGTCCTCCTTTTCTCCTCGTCTCCAATCGCGACGGGTCTGCGCCATGCCCTTTTCTCCCTGACCACCGACCGAGACACGCCTTCCCCTACCCGTGCTGGATCGGACCTTCCTACCCCGGCTGAATCTTCGGCCCCTTCTTTCAAGGCTTGAACATATCACAAATAATATATTATCCTCTCGAGCCAATCTGAGCCTTTTACGCGTTCGTCTCTCTCCTCGCGAGCAGCGAATTACTACCTTAGTGCGCAGCTAGACCTTCCGAGTCAGAACCCTCGGATGTTATATCAACGCTGACAGCGTTTCGTTGATGAGAGCCTGCTTGCCTGCGACAGACAGACTAGGCCTGCTTGTCTCGCAGTACATATCCTTCTGCACCCCGCAGACACCCTCTTTTTGCACGGTTGTTCGTAACGTTTGCACCTTACTAGTACTACTACTACTACAACTGGTGCTCGAAATCAGGCGCTCTGTTCCTCTTCGAACATTTTACACTACGAGCGGCCGCATCGCCGACGCGCAAGACGCGCAGTGGGCCGTTGAACGCGAGAAGGTCCCCTCGGGAACTCAGCGGAACTCCCGCTGGTGGACGAGCAGATGGCGGATCGGCCAGAGTCACTGCATGACGTCAAGCGCCGAAACCGACGGCGCGGATTTACCGATCTTCCTGTAAGTCATCGTGATGGTAACTGTGCTGCTTGCCGGTAAGTTGCTCACGCTTCAAATCCGTTACTTTCCTCTTCCCCCTCCCACTGTTCTCCTTTACGAACCCCCCTTTTACCCCCCATCCCTCCTCCAGCACCGCGCCGCTCGTTCTCCGCCTGTCCCCCTTCCGCGCTCACCTCTCCCTCCCTCCTCTCCCCTGCTTCTTCTCCTCCCCTGTACCATGTTCCCGTCATCATCGCCGCGTGCAGGCGGAGCTGGTGGAGGCGGTGCTGCGCTGCTGCCTGCAGTCGCCCGGCTGCTCGCCGCGCCAATACGCCCACACGCTTCTCGTGTACGTCTCAGTTAGCTCGCTCCTCGTCTACGCCTCAGTCCGCTCGTGTCGCTCGTGTTTCTCTTGTCGCTCGTTGTCACAGTCTTCCATATACACTCGTGACGTAGTACGTCGTGACTCAAACGCTGCTCGACAGAGTCCCCGGGACTTAGGGCTTCGACACGCACGGAAGGCACGAGGGTGCGCGCGACACGCACCGTAAATAGGGATGTTTGAAGAGTCTCCGACGAGCCGTCTCAGCTGAACCGTCTTTGTGAACTAGCCGTGAACCAGCCGTTTCGGTGAACGAGTTAACGCGCGGCACGGAACGGCATGCCTACTAATAAATCGTCGACAGCGAGAGCACGTCCTCGGTGTAGCCATTCCTCGTGTAGGCACGTCCATCTGTAAATCGCCTTTTATGCGCCAGAAACAGACCCGATCGCAGATCTGTGTCCGACCAGATCCATCAGTTGGCCATGGGGAATCAGCAGCGAACGTGCTCGCGCGTTCTGTGTTACTCGCACTTAATTTCGTGAACGTAACATTTTAATTCATTACACTCTAGTTGTGCCTTCTTGGTTTCTCAGGAGGAACAAACGAAAAAGAAAACGATTTCTGCTGCCAATCTATCTATATTTATGTTTCTAATACATCTGCCTCCATTCCCGTTACAGGTGCTCCCAGTTTTGTGACATCGGCATGTCTCCCGCAATATTGCGCGTTCTGCCTCCCTCCGTGCTGCTACCACGCATTGAGCGCTGGAGCGACTCCAACCTGCACTTTCTGAGAAGCTGTGCTGCTGCTGGGAACAGCGAGGCCTTGTTCATTCTCGGCATGGTGGGTTCCACTCCCTGTCCCCTTCCCTCTTCGTCTCTTTATCCGTTCCGTTCTTCTCTCTATCCGTCCCTCCCTCTATCTTCCTTAACCCCCTCCTCCTTTTCCCCCTCTCCCATCCACCCCCTTTCCTCCCTTTCACCACTCCTTTCAACCGGCGTTTTCTTGCTCTCTTCGTCCCTGATCTCTCTATCCCTTTGCTTTCTCTCTCACTACTCACGTTATAACTTCCCCTTTCTGTCTTCTTGTGTAACTATGCACTTGCACTTGTGTTGACCGTACGACACTTAATGAACCGAAACCACCCTTGCGTCTTCCCTCTGTGTCCGGCCAGATCTACACCTACTGTTTCAACGACCCTTACACAGGCTCGGCGCTCCTTACCCGAGCAGCTAGGGACGGACACGTGGCAGCTCTGCATTCGCTGGCGATATTCCTGCTCAACCGTGGTAATGCGATGCCCAAGAGGGGCTGTGACAACAGCAGCAGGCATCGTGAAATGGTTACCAGTGGTAACCAGGTCGACCGCCGGCATGCCGCTGGAATCAGCTGCACGGCCAACAGTGAAACCACTACTCAGACTTCCAGTGACAAAGCTATGAGAAGCAGCTCTTCTGATGATATTGCTGCTGGGAGCACCGTTCCTGATAGTATTGACGCTGGGAGCAGCATATCCAGTGGCAGCAGCAGCAGCAGCAGCAGCAGCAGCAGCAGCATGCGGGACAATGGTGATGACAGCAGCGCCAGCAGCACTAGCAGCACCATCAGCAGCAGTAGCTGCCGTCCCACAACCAGTGGTGGTAACCCTGGTGGCGCTGACAACACCAGCCTATCACGGCCGTCATCGTCACAAGCACCCTCACCAGCACCTGCGCGCACGGCAGTGCAGCTGCTGCTGCGGGCAGCACAGGGCGGCGACATTGCATCGCTGGTGGAGCTGGCGCACTGCGTGCAGCACGGTGTGGGGGCGCAGAGCAACGAGCGCATGGCCCACTTGCTGCTCGCCCGTGCGCGCGCCCTGCAAGTGCTGCGACGACAGCAGGGGTGGCGAGGGGGGCAAGTGGAGCACGGGGAGCAATTGCACTTAAACTCTCAGCAGCAGCAGCAGCAAGTGAGGCAGCAGCAAGAGCAGAGGAAACGGGTGCTGTGTGGGGCTTGGGGTTGTGATTTGAGACAAGGAAATGTGACCTGTCAGGTGAAACCTCAGGTGCCGCCAGCACCGCCAACCGCACAACTGGCAACAACACAAGAACCACAGCTGCTACCCATCCCGCCAGCAGCAACACATGTGCCACCGACATCATCAACAGCAGCAGCACATGAACCACTCGCCTCACCAGCAGCACAAGAACCATTCACCCGGTCAGCAGCAGCACACGAATCGTCCACTCCAGCAGCAGCAGCGCACGAATCACCTACCCCAGGAGCAAAAGAGCAGCAGTGGCTGCCGGTGCCTCGTCACCCCATCCACTCCTTCCTGTTGCAATGGCGCAAGCAGGAGGAAGAGAGGTTTGCCTGTGAGCAACTGCAGCAGGTGCAGCACATGCAGTATCAATTGCACATGCAATGTCTGCAGCAAGCCCAGCAGGTTCAGCAGCTGCCGCCGCAACATCAGCAGCAGCTGCAATACCTACAGTACATTCAACACCCAGAGGTGCTGCTATCAGATAGCACAAGCATTCATGAGACTCTACAGCAGCAACCACCTCATTCGCACACCCCAGCAGCACAAGTGCTGCACCACCAACTGCTGTTGCGCCAACACGCGTCTGCCCTACTAATAACTGCACGGCACCTCCAGCTGCTGCCGAGCCAGAAGCAGGTGTGTGGGAATCGCGAGTGTGGGCGGAGGGAGACGAGTGCAGGGTCCTTCCGTTGCTGCGCGGGGTGCCACATCGCGTACTGCTCTAGGAGTTGTCAGTTGGAGGAATGGGTGAGAACACGTGGGGCTCTGGCTGAAATAGTGTTCCCGAGTGTAGGAATCCAAAATTAAATTCTATAGAAGAAAGGAATTTTGCATTCCAATCGTTCATGAGATTGGATCCTTCAAGAACCTCAAAAGAACAACTCACAAAGGCAATTCTGGTTTTAAAAACCATGCTCTCTTTCAAAACGCTTCATACTCATGCCCAGCTGTGGTGTGGTGGACTGCCTCTTTGCTTTAGGTTATGCATGTGTTCACTCCCATCCAAGACTCTTCATGAAAGCTTTCAGGGGTCTGTGTTCATTCCCATCCAAATACTCTGAAAAAGTGTTCACTGTATAGAAGTGAGAAAATGAGAACGAGAATGAATGAACTATGAAACAGTTGGGTACAAGTACTAACCCTAATTGGGTTGTACCCCATATGGGCTACCCCACTACAGCCTACACAAAAGCATAAGCTATAATGTTCTGACACACCCCCATAGGCAAAGTGGGGGAGAACAAGCGGTCACAGGACCAGTCAAGCAAAGCAAAGCAAAGCAAGCTCAGGGTGGATCACAAAGTCACCACACATTCCGAGCACAAGTTCAAGGCCACAAGGCCAGTTCACATGCATGAGTACATATATATAGAAAGCTAGACAAGCAAGAGCAGGTGTATATATATGTAACAGTACAAGCAAGGTCAAGAGGTGAGCAAGTGAGGCAAGACAGGCACAAGACCAAGCTGAGTACAGAAGCGCTGATGATCACAAGGCGCAAGTGCCTTGGTGAAGATATCAGCAGTGTTGGCCTCAGAGGCCACGTACGCAAGACGCAACTGACCACGCTGCTGCAGCTCACGAGCAAGGAAGTAGCGAAGAGCAGTGTGCTTCGTTCTGTGCTCCAGTCTCTGCTCTCGACACAAGGCCAGCATGGCCTTGTTGTCTCATACAGCACTGGAGGAGAACGAGGCAGCTCTCCGAGGTCAGTCAGCAGGTAGGTGAGCCAGCGAAGCTCCTGTGCAGCCATGGCCCCGGCGAAGATCTCAGCCTCACAACTGGAGCCGAGAACAGAAGACGAGCGGGTAGCCCGCCACGAAACAGAGCCGGAACCAAGGCTGAAGGTGTAACCCTGTGACGACCGGTGCGTAGCCTGGTCGTCTGCCCAAGAAGCGTCCGCGTGCCCAGTGAGGACCACCGGACTCCGCCCTCCAAGCACTAGCCCCATGCCCGACGTACTGCACAAGTAGCGCAACACCCTCTTCGCTGCAGCCATGTGCTCTGGTCTGTCTCTCCCAGGAGCAACATAGCGTGCAAGAATGCTAAGAGCGTATGCAAGGTCAGGTCGTGTGCAGGTCATCAGGTACATGAGGCAGCCAACAACCTCTGGGTACGGGCCACTCGGCTCTACGGACTCATCCGAAGGCAGAGCTGAGAGCGAGTGGCGAGTAGACAGAGGAGTGGCCTGAGGCGAGGAGTACGTGAAGCCGAAGCGCTGAAGGACCTGCTGCACCATGTGTGACTGAGTCAGGGTAATGGTGCGGCGTGCTCTGTCCCGGGTGATCTGCAAGCCAAGGTAGCTGCGCAGTTTACCCAGGTCTGTGCACGTGTGTCTCTTCTGCAGCTCGGACTTCACGTGGGTGAGTCCAGCAGTGTCAGCTGTGGCAAAGACCAAGTCGTCGATGTACACGAGGATGTAGAACGGCCGCAGAGAGGTGTCGGTGCGTAGAAACAGCGACCGGTCAGCATTAGAGGGAGCAAACCCAAGAGCCGCAAGTGTAGTCGTCAGTGTGTCGTGCCACTCGCGCGGTGCCTCGCGGAGACCGTAGACTGGCCGTCGGAGGCTCCACTGGGTGCCAGGAGGGAAAGTCCAAGTGAAGCCAGCTGGACGGCGCAACCAGATCTCCTCGTGCAGGCTACCCTGCAGGAAAGCAGTGCTGAAGTCAAGGGAGTGAAGTTCGTAGTCACGCTAAGCAGCTACGTGTAGCAGCACCCGAAGAGTGGTCATCTTCGGGGTGGGAGAGAAGGTCTGAAAGTAGTCAACTCCCTGCCGCTGACTGAAGCCACGAGCCACGTACCGCGCCTTGAAGACAGGTGGAGAGCCCGGCGGCCGCTTCACCCTGAAGATCCACATGCCACTGACGATGTTCGCCCCAGGAGGGGGAACTGCGTCAACGTAGGTGCCTGTGGACTTCCAGGAAGCCATCTCTGCATCCATAGCTGCCTGCCACTGAGAGGAGTAGGGACCCTCTACGGCCTCCGCGTAAGAGCGCGGAGTCGGGATGTCTAGTGCATCCGGGTCTCCCTCAGGGGTAAGCAGTACGGACACGAGATGAGGTGAAGCAGCAGCCAGACACTGGAACTCCTCCTGCCTGTCCTCAAGGACGTCCGTGCCAAGAGCAAACTCACCCCCGACGGACGGAGGACAGACAGACGCAGACTCAGCAACAAGACTAGCAGCGTAGTCTAGACGACAGCGAGCAGCAAAGTCGACGAGCTCAGTAACAAGAGCAGACGCATCAGTGGACTCAAAGGAGGGGTCAGTGGCGACAGTAGCAAGGAGACGCGTGACAGTAGGACTGGCAGCACGAAGAGAGTCCGACTCAGGGTCGGCAAGTACAGGAAGAGAGGACTCAGGAGGAGAGGGCAAGGGGGCACGCAGAGGAGCAGTGGACGGACGCAGAGACATCCGGTGCGTGCTAGGGACAGGAGGAGGACGCTGACGCGAACTGTGACCACTAGTGCGAGCAGCACGAACAGGCGACGCAGGACGAGACGCAGGCTCACGACGCTCAGCAAGACTTCCAGTAGGACCAGTGTACGGAGAAGTAGAAGGCAGTGGGGAGACCGGTGGTAACTGTGACTGCGACTGGACAGGCGGTGGACACTCTAAGGGAGGAGGAAGACCAAGAACCTGCTGAAGGAGCGGAACAAAGTACGGCCGAGGCCGTGCGGCGACTCGAGGCACAGCAGGGACAGCACCAGCACCCCTAGCGGCAGTACCAGCGTCAACAGCACCTCCAGCTCCAGTACCTCCAGCAGCACCAGTAGCACCCGCAGCAGGACCGCCGCCAGGACTGACAGCAGTAGCCTCCGCGCCAACACCCTCAGCAGCTCCGACTCCAGTAGCACTCGTAGGACTAGCACCTCCGAGACCTGCGGCACCAGCACCCTCAGCAGCCGAAGAAGCACCAGCTCCAGTAGTACGCCTCCAGCGCCGGGCAAACCATTCGCGCAGCTCCTGTGGAGAGAGTGGCTCCCGCCGAGACGAAGCACCCGGAGAACCAGCAGGCCCAGCACCGCCAGACGCCACACGAGCAGGTCATGCGGCCGCGGGCTCCGCACCCCCAGGCTCAGTAGCTCCAGACTC